GAAATATTTTATTTTGCATATACAAAGCGGGACGGACCATACCGAAGACACCACACTTTACCAGAATTATTCCTCCCTCATTAAGATTACAAATTGGCAATAAGGCACGATGTATAATATATATTTTTAAAGTAATTAAAATTTGTCCGAACGGTGGTTTCGTTCACTTTATTTTATATTACTAAAAAATAATACTATCTAAACTACTGAATACATTAAATTACAGTTATGCAATTTGAGCAACGAGTAGTAAATTAAATGAACAGTTGTATAATTTTTAAAATGGGGGTTGGTCCACATTCAGGTTGATAAGGGGGATACCCTCTTATAAATATAAAACATAAAGTCTATACTTCTGTCCCTAAATAAACATGTTTCATAATGCGAAACGGTTCGTTGGGAGAGCGCGACTGTCTTAGAAGTTAAGGGACAGAACCAACACGTGTCCTATTGTTCTCTACTGATCGGTATTCGGGGTTGTCTTTCCGTTACAGGCAGAACTGTAGGAGTACGTGGTTAACCTGGCTTTTCTCAACCCACTTTGTTTATAATTTCCGCTTCCTTCATATTTCATAATTAGTGCTCTTCATAGTTAGTGCTTGCAAGACAAAAACTTTATTTTTTTATCATAATAATTATTTCATAGTGAAATAATATTTGATTTAACTAGTTAAGTAAGTATTCATTGGTTGAAAGTACGTCGAGAAACGACAAATGTTTGCCCCATCACTATGTAGTTGATTGGTATCGAACCCTTAAGAAAAATTTACTTGTTCGTCAAACGCTGCTAACCTCACCTACAAACCCTTGACGATTGACGTTTGACATGTCGGATGTCGAACGTATTGTGTATTTCATTTAGCTCACATTAATTTTATTTTAAATAAAAATAATCGAAAGCTTAAAAAAATGTGAGATCACTGCAGTCGTATTTTCCTATTAATTTTTCTTATAGAAAACATACGTGAACTAATTATTTGATTAATGCTTACCTGGGAAAGTAAGTAAGATTTAAAATCAATTAAGCAGCTAGTTTCTTTTTCATGTTTTGATTTTATATAATTGGTTATTTATTTATAAATTTGATTGATAATAGAGAGGTTGATAAGACAATATTGAAAAAAAAAACATATATACAGACTGTCCTGTAAGTGGAGGAAAATTTAGGAGGATGGCAGACTTAAAGAGCTACAAAAAATTACATATGAAGAATCGGCATTATTTTTGCAGAAAAGTAGAAATTTTAAGATTTGCGTTTTTTAACAAGTTTATTTTTTAAAGTCACATTTTTTGTTGAATAGGGATAACTTAAAAGATGTTGGATTTAAATTATTAAAATAATTAAACATTGCTCCAAAGTAAAGTAGACAAAATTATCTTTAAAATAAAGTAGAGTTTGTCATTATTAAAACTACTTAAACAAGACTTTTGGACGGACAAGCACACCTAAGTTCCGTTAAAAAAAAAAATGTAATTAATTATTTCTGATTATTTTCATCCTTCAACTACATTTACCCCACTTTTAGAAAAACGTCCTCGTTTAATAGGCTTTTAGTCCACATTAATTATGTTGAAGTTTATTAGACAAAATTTTGATAATCACCTCAAGTGCTGTAAAGAAATTATGATTTCCTATGCAGTCACCTTAAAGTACTCGTTTTGGTTCTGCAAAAATGACTATAATTAACTGTTTCAAAGCTTTTATTTTTTTGTTTTTAGTGTATTGTGATAAATATAATCGACTAAAGACGCATTTTATTTATAAATATAAAAATGTCAATAATAATTTTTTCAATGTTTTTCACGTAAAGTAGTTATGAAACTGTGTTTTTCTCCCAGATCTCCGTCATAGGAATTAATGCGAATTTATGAGTGATAAAATTGATGTTTCTGGAGCTAATATTTACGTTTTCATGAAAATAATTGAAGCGAGGTTTATTTATTTTAAACGTCAATTTTAGGGCTAGAAACATTATTTTGGTCACTGATAAATGCGGATCAATTTTCTATGACAGAAATATGGTAGGAAAACTCAATTTCATATCCAAATTACATGAAAAATATTTGAAACATCATCATTTTTAATTTTAATAATTTTTATAAATAAAACGTGTAGTTAGGCAATTATTCTTATTAAAATACATCTCAAATCATAGAAGAACGAGAAATAAAAGCATTGCAATAGTTAATTGTAATCATTTTTGCAGAAAGCTTTTGCCAACTAAAACTCAATTTAATTAATATAAACATAAACTATATATATATATTATACATAATATACTCTACTACAAACTTTTAAAAATATTATTATTGGCAAAGAATGAAATTTGAATAACGCACAGGTAAGCGGGCTTTTACTCATTTATTCGATACAAAAGAAAAAAAAATCTATTTAGCGAATTATGACGTATTCTGCCAGCAACAGTGTTGGTGGTAATTGGCCACTGTTTATATTTATAATATTTATAACTATATAAATTATTCAAATTATTTTCAATGTCAGACATGATACAATAATACCAGAAATAAAGAATAATGAAGAAGTATGATAGTCCTGAGTTACTATTAGCGGCATTATAGATGGATGACCCTAGATGTTTTATGATAGACATCAACGGGTTTTACTGCAGCATTTAATTTGCCTTTCGCATGTACTGTGGGGTTACTCACTTTCCAACAACCGATATAATTACCATAGAAAGTGTTAACTGCAACATATTTATTACTCTTATAAATAGAGTCTTAAATGTTTCCAGATAATCGATGCTTTCTCTCCTTAAATAGTGGTGCTGATTTCCTTTATCAAATAGAAAGGTGACTTAGATAAAGCAGCGGATAGCAGCAGTTCCAGCGGCTACTTATCTCCTGCTCTTGCAAGGGCAATATATTTAAGATTAGTCAAACCAGCAAACCGAATTACCCTCTGCTCCGTTCCCTTATCTGTTACCGTTGTTAGTTATTGCTTACTGTGGAACTATTTATAGCGGTCAGTTCTAAAAGTAAACAGTCCACTAATTCATTGGTAGCTTTGTAATGTACTGCTTTGAATTTAAATGCACTGTTAGAAGTAAAGAAAATATCATTAGTTCAGTCATTTCACGTTTTTTATTACCGCAAATATTTGCCCCTTTGCCTGCAAAAAAAATTCAAGTTACACAACTTTTGGCTACGTAAAAACGGTTGTACGGGTCGGTAGTCTACTGTTTGTTAATAGGCTACTATTATCATCTTGCGAAATCGCAAGGGTGTTTGCTGTAGTTTGCAGAGAACTGGGCCTTTATTTATTCAGATCTTTTAATAAAGTTAGTTTTTTTTTGGTGATGGATCCATGTTAATCCATATTGTAGCCAAGCAGCAATGACGCATTGAGATCGTGTAAAGTGTGCCCCGTGATGGTAAAAATTAAATCCTTTGGCTCCTACTGGCGTAAGGTATCCACGATTTCTTTCCATTTCTCTTTGTCAGCAGCAATCCTCCTGGCCATATTCCTAGTGTCATTCGCGTACTTACAACTCCTATACGAATTCAGGCACCCTGTCTGTCTGATCCAGCCCCGGGGGCCCATTACAAACCCTACTGATTCAGACACCTCAAATCAGCTTGCCCGGTAGGAAACTTTCGTTTTTTAAAATTGATGTTATATATATTAATTATTTATTTATATGTATTAACTAAATTATTAATTTTGTTTTAAATATTTTTTCTGACAAACAATACTGTTAAAATACAAGAGGAAAAAGTGCTAAATATAAATAATTTGTAAATATTATAATTGTATAATAAGGACTAAGATTATAATAAATTAAATAATAAATTTTAAAAATAAATAAGAAAATGATAATATGAACTTTTCAGTAAGGTAATGTAGAAATTGGTTGCTAATAATGAATAATGTTCTTTTGGGAAAAAAAAAAGTATAAAGGTTGTCTTTTAATATTATATATAATATAGACAATACTAATAATTTTAATTTTAATATTTTTTTACTAACAGACAATACAGTCAAAAGGAAAGAGGGATAAATGCTAATCTAGTTGGGCCGTGTAAAAATTCGCAGAAAATTTAGTTTAGTGAAGAAATAGCAAAACAATATGGAAATAAATAGTTCCTATGTATTATGGAAGGAAGGAATTAATATTTTTTCCTTGATCAATTACAATATTCCATTAAACATAATAGACCAAAATATTTGTAAAAATTGCTTTCCTGAGACCTATTTTTAAACGCTGACTGGATAGATAATAAAAGTAATAAAGAGAAAATAATGCCTCGATCATGGTATATTCTAGATTATTAAAAATAATTAGAACAACCAAATGTCTTTAAGAAATAATAGTAATAGACTATTCTACTCCTAAATTCAATATGTTTAAACAGGAAGACATTATTAAGTATACCAAAACAAATGGACTGTGTTTTTGTTAATAATGGTCCGATTTTTTTTTTGTTTTGTAGGTAATTTAGTATTTTTCGTAATTATTAGTAGAGGTACAATATCGATAAAAATGTATATTTTTTTCAGTTATCTGCAAATAAAGTTTCTTTTCCTTCTTAACTTTTTTTCCGGAAATTTCGGTGGGACAGTACTATTTTTCGTATGTGAAGGAGAAGAATATCTTCAAAATGAGTGGTCAAGCATTGGATTTGATGAAGAATTGACGAAGTTATGGACTACCGACAAAAAAACATCTTTTAGAAATAATATATGGGATTATAAATAATTTTAAAAAATAATAAAACTAAGATAAAATAAATAAGAAATCGTAAAAAGGAAACGGAAAATAAGAATAAGTGTATATGATATAAAGATAAACAAGAATGGATTTTAGTTGAAACATCCAAAGTTGGAACACGAAAATGTAAAAGCGAGAAATGGCCCTGACGACCTGTAATGAAAACCTACATTAAAACATACTCTCATATTAATAATTATTAAAATCGGAGATGAAAAAGTTAGCTTAATTTGTAGATGCATTGTCCGCCTTAAAAAATATGTTTCCCTTCCTTAATTGCACAGGTCATTCTATGATGATGGACATCTTAGAATTTACTTTATGCTCATACCAAACGCTGACAATAATTTACATTGCAAAATAAATTACGGAAGCTTATAAATTTTTGTTGCAATTAATTATCCCTTTTTTTCTTTTAAATTTCTCCGACAAGAAAATAAGTCTTATAAACAAGCACAAAGGCGAACGGAGAAACTCCTAATATATGGCATTGACCCGGAGAACTACGATGTTACCCGAGAAGAGAAGAAGATCCTGGGGACTGACTCACTAGTAAGATGGTGAAGACATGCCACTTCTCATTTGCACACAATGTACAGAGGACGCCCACCTCAACCACCGCACCGATCAGTCACTCCACTTGTCTGTCACTCATCGTCCTCTGCACTCGTTGAAATGTGGAGAGAGTGCGTTTTCTCTACTTGGTTTGCTTCATTGACTGACGTTTTGCATGTAACAAAAGAGTTTTACATGTGGACATCCTTAGTATACGTGCTCAATGAATCTTTTACAAATGAATGCCTGCCGATTGCATTTGTAGATCGACAACAATACAAGTCCTGAAGGAATAATGTTTACAAAATCGGTACTGTGAGTGCCTGCTGTATAAGATTATTATATTACTATTTACTGTATTGGATTGCAACATCATTTAGTTAAAAAAAAAATTCTAGGAGTCAGAATGTACAAGGAAATTGAAAATGAAAAATATGTAACGACAATATCACTAATAGTATTATTTCATAACTTTTATAGTATACAATATTAAAATACCTCTAATATCAATTAATTTTAAATATTAAGACAAAAAACCTTTATTTTCGCCTGAAGCTGTTCATCCATATAAGCATAATTTGTGTTGTATGGTGCACGCCAGATCGGTCGTGTTAGCAAAGCAACTAGGAACAGGTTAAAAGATTTCCGAACCGAAAATAGTAAGAGGATCATCAGATGCAGAGATTGAAAACATTAGATATACAAGCAGTATCAAATGTATTTTTGCTAAAACAGTTGCCTAATCCTCTTTTGAACAGCTTAATAACAGCAAACATTCCAAAACGTTGGCAACAACTTACGCTAGACTAGTTTTTAAATTTAATTCTATGATTTAAGGTGTAAGGTCAACTCAAGCCTAATGGATCTTACTGAATTTTTTTTTCACTTTCAAGATGAAGAGATGGTTTCAAATCCGCATAAATGACTACGAAAAAATGTCACATGTGTTCTACTGAAAAGTCTATTATTAGAGAAATCGTTACATCCTGTCCCATTAGAGTCTCTGTAAGAAACACCATCCACTAGCGGCGCCGTTCGACCACCATAAACGGAGGAATAGAACGCTCTAGAAAAAGGAAGATTCCTTGTGAAATGGGGATGCCAACCACCAGGCTTGACATCGAAGAATGTGTCTAGGCATTCTAAAAACTTCTCTGAGTAACACTTTGAAAGTATGGATGAAATGACTCGACTCCATAACAAAAAATAGTTGTATAAAAAAAAAAAAAAAAAAAAAAAAAAAATATATATATATATATATAAATATATATATATACCGATTATATATTAAACTACACGGACACAACAACAAGGTGATGATTAATTTCAGGAGGCGACTGAGATGTTGCTGGATGAGAGATCTGTTATCCTGAATCAGTAAGTAATCCTGAAAGAGGGGTGATGATGGGTGCTTTCCTTTCTCATGTCTATGATGCCGATTATGCTATGTAAGACAAAAAGTCTGTTGATTGTCATTATCATGACAGGTGCGGATAAATACTTGAAGAGAGAAACAAATAATTTAAGAAAATATAATTAATTGAGGAAAGGATTATTCTAATTTTCTATTTAATATAAGAAGAAAAAACTAAGGTGTATGTTTTAGACCACACGATAGAAGTAAAAACATCAACAAGGCGAAATTAATAATATAAAATATAAATAATAGCTCATTATAATAATAGTCAATTACAGAGAGAATAACATTCGGAAAATTTTCCTTGCTTACAGTATGTAGATCCGATTTTTAGTTTCTCAGATCTTTTGATCCATATCTTCACTAGAAATTGCTATAAATTTGGTTATCGATACTATTTTTCCTTTTCGCATTTCTAACACGGTGTCACGTTAAGATACAAATTTAAATAATAGTCTATTACAGAAAGGATTAAATGCTGAATAATTCGTTCGCTTACAGTATGCAGATTCATTTTTAGTTTCTGAGATATTATAATCCATATATTTAATAAAACTGGTTGTCATTTTGTTTTTGACGCCATTTTTTCCATTTTCGCTTATCTAATTTTGAATTGTAGCTTATTGCAAAGAGCGTGAAATACATTTCACTCGCTCACAATATGCAGGTCCGATTATTAACTTTTGGGGTATTTTAATCCTTTTGCAAAAACACTTTAATTATTCGACTCCAGCCAACTTTAGCCAACCGATACACACCGAAAATCTGACGGCTCAACCTGATTCATTCTCCACAAAAATTTGCAAACCGCTCCGAACCGAACCGAAGTATTCACTTAAATAAAAAAAAAAATACTTAATAATTTTATCATCATTTTGTATACTTTTTCAAACATTATGATAAATTTAGATTTGATTAATAAATTTAATAATGAAACAAATCTAATATACCACTCAGATAAAATATAATTGTAACTCAATAACTTATGAAATATGTACATACATAAATTATATATAAAGATAATTTATATCTTTATTGATATATTTACACATTTACTTTTAGTTTGTATATGTGATTTTATTGTTTGTTTTGATAGAATGTAATATGTATAGAAATTGGTGAGAAGTAAATATTCAAACTACTTGATCAATTATTACCTGATGGCATATGTACATTTACAGCAATAATTTTTAGTTCCACAAATTACCTTTTTTTACTTACCTGAAGTTCTTGTTTGTTTTTGGATATATGATTCGTTCTTATGGTGTCACTTTGAGGTATTTTTTTCCATTGTTTTCTATCCTAAAGTTGGTATTTGATCAGCTAACAGATTTTTGCTTGGATTATAATCTAGTTTTTCATTCATATCTTATGTAGGTTTTTTAGGAGGTTTTTCCTACTGTACAAAATGGATTTCAATCTTATAAACAGCATTCATACCACTAGTATGTCATGTATAAGGTTACTGCAACCACAAACATGTAATTTATCATTATGACATGATGTAATGTATATATAAATAAATAAATAAAAAAAAGAAGATTTTTGCTAAACAGGTATCTATTAGTTCCTAGTATATTTCGTTTTTATTTGTTTTTTCGGATTAGTTTTTTTAACTAACTAAGATTAATTTTTTTAAAAATTGAAATAAAAAAAATTGGAATTTATTTTTATTGATACCCATTTCTCCAGAGAAGCAATCGCATATGAAAATGAGAAATTCATTGGTGACAATTATGTATAATTATTCTATTAAGATGATATACTATTAGCCATGGCTCTACGTCAGAGACCATCTGGTTCCTCTCTTAATTAACAAGATGGCTTTGATGATCTGACTCTTGGATCTTTTTACAGCCTTCATATATTGCAGTTGAGCGTTAATTGACTGGTATATTTTCAAATAACTCCTCAAGATTATTTCTTTTGGTTATAACTGGTTGACGCGCGATATGTCAAAGGAATTCTGACTTCTATAATATAACAAATCCCAGAGTGGATGTAGTATATTTTAGATTTAATAACATTAATTGACATATTAATCTCGCATTGGAATCTGATCTATCTTATCTAATATTGTCATGATATGTTATCTCGGCGTCTTTATTACCAGCCGAATTTCATTCATGAAATTCTTTCGTAACGTTTCAATTAATATTGGCTGATTATCAACCGCGTCCACTATACGATTGTTTTCATTTATTTAAACAGTGCATAAATATGCTTAAATAAGAATCTTTTGAATTAATATATAATGTGACAGATAATACAGTCTTGGTAATCCGAACATGTAGATTGCATAGCCTGTTCGGAATATAAAAGGTTAAATTTAAAAGGATGTAGAAATTGGAAACAAAAATATATGTATTAGGTATTAATTATCAGCTTAATATAAACACTTTGCAAAAAAAAAAAAATTAAATAATCATTTAATGTACGTCGAGCCTCTGATTTTGTTGGCTTTGTACCATTATCTACTCCGAGCAAGTATTGAATGCCTTTATTACGTTTTTATTATTGATCTATAATGAAAAATAAAGTAAGGTATAAAGACATTTTTCAGTTTAGCGATTAATATAAAAACGTATTCCTTACCTACTTTTGAAATTATCAAACAAACCGTTACTGGCATTAAAATCTGCTTTATCATCCTTCTTAAAAAAATTAATAAAGAAAGCTTAAACTTGTCAGCTAATACGTCTCCGGAAATCGGACACTCTCATGACCTTTGCTGCAAAAACCATATCTAAAGAGGTGCCTAATCTTCTGGATGACCGGCTAGCTTTAATTTTTTTCTGGTTAGAGAAAACACAGTACAATTTTGACCCAACTACGCGAATTAATTCCAGTAATATGTACTGAAAAACAGTGCTATTTCCATTACTTCTCTATGAATTATCGAAACCGTTGTGTACTTAAAGAAATCCTGTCAACTTAAATCTTCATGTCTTCTATAATAGTTTAGTTTATTAGTTGTTTTATACTTTTATGTTGATTTAGTTCTGGAGTTAAAGAATTCTCAGAAAGCAAGAAGTCACCATCTTTGTCAGTTTCGCTAAATTATCTCAAGCAAGCAACAGGATGTGGGCCTCATCCAAGGATCGCAGATAGCGTCCAATTTCTGATATTTAACTGAGTTTTCTCATCAGAAATCACTCCGTTCTGCCTTCTTACTCTAGCTTTCAAAACTTTTCTTGTTCGATGGATTTCTTCAATGATCAGTCGTTTTTCTTGGGAGGACCAGGATCACCCCAAACCAGTGAAACCATCTTATTTTTACGACAGAGCAATTTCCTTGTCATTGTACGGATCAAGGATTTATCAGTTTTCCCTTTTTCTACTAATTCTATAAGCGTTTGCAACCCAACTGGTCCAAGCAGTAATATTTTTTCCTCTAAGAGGAGGAGTTTTATCAAATTTGCGGTTGTCTGCTTCGTATCCATAATAACAGAATGGCTCGATCCGATGTTTTGTAGTGTTTGAATTGGTTATTAATAGATTCAAACTTAATTTTTAAAAGGTTTGTAAACAGTTGGTTGCTGTGATCCTTGTGCCAACTTTCTAGGAATCACCATTCTTAGAATCAAGCCCTGTTTTTAGATTGACGAAAGAATCTGTTTTTCTTATACGCATTGTTTAATTTCTGATTATGTTCCCTAATTTTAATATTTTTCCTCTCTAACATGTGGGAAAAAAATTCTCAGAAAGATCATTGGCTCTACAAAAGAAGGATATCGCTAGTGGATGAAGACAAACAAGGAACTTAGAAATCTATTTAAAACACCAAATATTGATAAGATGTCTGAGGCACATATGAAGAATGGAAAGTAGTATACAACCAAAAATGGCGATGGAGGAACACTCTGGTAGAGGAAGGTGCAGAGGAAGACCTAGACTTCGTTGGCTG